CCCCCCCCCCCTCTCTCTCTCTCTCTTCTCCCGCGTGCGGGGCCCGTCCGACAGAATGGCTGTTTCAAGTGTGCCACCTGCAGCCGGCCGCTGATGGCCTCGACCTTCGGTCGGGTGCCGGCCGAGACCGCCGGCGCCCCGGACCGCCTCATGTGCACGACGCACACTCGCCAGGCGAACAAGCGTCTGGAGGAGCTGGCCGCCGCGCGCGCGGCCTCCGGCGCGGCTGAGGCGTCGCCGGCCCTCGGCGCGGCCAAGCCCACCGCCGCCGCCGCCGCCTCGGCCAGCGGGTCGTCGTCCCTGGACCAGGCCATGTCGATCCTGGGCGTGTCGTCGGCCGGGACTTCCTCCGGGCCGGCTCCCGGGACCAAGCTGTCCGGCCGCCAGGCCCTGATGGCCTGGTCGCGCCAGGCGGCCGATGGGTACCCCCTGGCCGGGGGCATCGAGGACTTCTCCAACTCCTGGACCGATGGCATGGCCCTGTGTGCGGTGGTGCACCGGTACCGGCCGGATCTGCTGCCCTGGAGCAAGGTGAAGGCCTGTGCCTCGAATGTCGAGCGCATCCAGCTGGCCTTCGACGCGGCCCGGACCCATGGCATTCGCCCGCTCATCGACGCCGATGACCTGGCCGCCGGTGGGGACGAGTTCTCCATGATCACCTACCTGACGGAGGTGTACCACCAGTTCAGCGCCCTCCCCCGGGGTGATGGCTACACCACGGCGTAAGGGCGAGTGAGGGAGATGCTGTCCGCCGCATGAGCAGCGAGAGAGCGAGCCCGAGAGAAAGAGAGAGAGAGAGAAAGAGAGGGGACCCCGGTGCGGAGGGGGAACACCGGGCAAAACTCAGCCGACCAAGGTCGCAGCAGCGCCACGCCCGAGGGGTGTTTGCATGTGTGTGTGTGTGTGTGTGTGTGTCCGTGCGACCATCCCTCCCGTGTCTCGCCCTTCTACTAGCCTCCTTTCGGTTTCTTTCTTTTTCCCGCTATTATGCCCTCCCCCTGTCCCGTGTGCGTGGGGCTCGGGTGCGCGCGCACCCCCCTGCCGGCCGCCTCCCCTGTTTCATGGGACGGGGGGAAGGAGGGCGCACACTGGCCAGGGGCGCCGCGCGCGGGTCTGAGTGTGAGCCCCGTTGGCGGTGTGCGCCTGCTGTGCCGGGGCTTCCCTCTGCTCCTCGTCCCCCGCCCCACACATGTGCAGGGGCCGGCCTGCGGCCCTCCCTCCCTCCCTGTTCCCTGGCTTGCTCGCTCTCTCCCCTTCTCCCATGCCCTCTGTTCCCCCTCCGTCTCTTCCCCCGGACTCTCGAGGACGGCGCGGAGCAGCGCCTTCTCGGTTCATAGGCCCCTTGTATTCCCATCCCCCCCCCTTCTTCTTCCTCCTGCTCCTCTTCCTGCCTCTGTTGTCGATCCACACGCGCGCACGGGCACACATCGACGAGAGGGGACTGTGCGCGCGCCTCCCTTCCCTGCCCTCTCCGGCGCTCGTGTCCATGCGCGCAGCCGCACGAAAGAGAGAGAGAGAGAGGCAAGGAAGAAGTGAAATAGAGAGAGAAAGTTTTCGCCGCCTTCCGCCCGAGTGAGAAAGGGCCAGGGGCGGCAGTGTGGCAGGGGGCGGGGGGGGGGGGGGGGGGGGGGGGCCCCCGGGGGGGCGTGGTGTTTTCGCCTGTGTCGGACGGCGTGCTGGCCGCCGCCGCCGCCGATCGGCCTCCGGGGGCGGCGATCTCGTTTGTGTATGTGTGTGTGTGTGTGGGCGGGCGGGCGGGCGGGCGGCGGCGGCGGCGGGGCCCCAGCCCTCGGGGAGCAAAGGGCCGTCCCTCTTTGGGATCTCCGGTGGACCGGGCCCGGAATCCGGGCCGCGTATCGCGGCCGCCTCGGGGACGATCGTGTGTGCCCGTGCACTCGTGCGCATGTATGTGTGTGTATGGCGGGTCTGGCGGGATCGGCGCTGTTGTTTGGCTTCTTGGAGCCGTCCGCGGGAGGGGCGGCGCCGGCCCGGGCTCGGGACGCGCCGTTGTCTCCGGCCCCCCCCTCCCCCCGGCCGCTCACCCGTCCGCTCGCCCGCCCCCTGTCCGAAAACACTCGTGCGCATGGGGCCCTGCTCGGGCGTCCCCCGAACAACAGGGCGAACGGGAAGATCGGCCGGGGTGCCCTGACTTCGGAGGCATGCCGGGCCAGGGCGGCTGGCCGTGCGGGCCCGGTCGCCGCTCAGGGCGCACCCTATCCGGGCGGCACGTTGGCCGGCGCGGGCCGGCATCAGGGCGCTGGCAACGCGAGGTCCCGGGGGCCCGCGGCGCATGTTGCCCAGGGGCAGCCAGGGGGTGCGCAGGTATGGGCCGGGCGTGCCGATGTTGCATCCGGCAGGGCAAGACGCCGCCGGCGACATGTGGGGCCGCCCTCTTCTCTCTCCCCGGGGGGGGGGGGG